TGCTTAAAAGTAATCCAACATATTTCAGCTTTATGTTTCAGTCTAATAGTTTCCTTGAGAATCACTAACTAAATAATTGATGAATCAAATCCGCAATCAGTGATGTTGCATGCTTTATGACGAGCCGAGTTTTGTAGAGCTCTAAAAATAAAAATAAGCAACATATGAATGTCAAAAAGAATTTACTACCAGTGATACACTAATAATAAAGTAATTATTAGTGCTTTTGTAGAGCCAATTCCTGAAGAAGTACCTATCCATACAGACGTGGGAGGAATGAAACCCAAATGTGAGTGTGTGTTTGTTTACTACACATTACACGCGCGGTCGTCCACTTCTGCTGTCGATATAACTTTGTGTTTGACACGATCATGTAAGCAAATGATTTCATTGCAAGCAACGAAGATTATGATCAAAGAAATGAAAGAGAGTAACGGATTTCTGAAGGTTTTTATTATTACTGTTTGTTTTTTCATATGCCATTTAAAATGTTAATAGAATAGAGGCTAGTAATGAATGAGAATATTTGTGAGCACTGAGTTCTGGTTTGATTGAAGGTTGCAAACGATGGTAAGATTGGGAGTAATTCAGTGGAGACAAATAACATGATGCTGAACAAACCGACAATGGGGGTTCGCGAAGATTGCAGCACAATTTATTTTATCACAGAATTTGGTAGCTTTGCTACACTAAAGGTGCAGTTACATTTTGTCTCTTTTGAAATTATCAAACATATCATAACTAAAGAATCACACCATGCTGCTAAATTTTCATAAGTTGAATTCTCATTCATTTATACTTTCTGTCCAAAATGCATTGATATGATCTTCGTACAAAAGCTCTTCCTTCCAACATCAGCTAACTTCTAAAATGGTTTGACCAAATTTAAGCCAACTACTAGTCAAAAAGATTTTCTCATGGACTACTTCTTATTCTGCAGATGACTGATGGCGAGTTGGTGGAAAGTGATTGCAATGGAATCTTAGCGGAGAATTCACGCAAGCATACATTTCAAATAGCAGTAATGATCGGTTGTCTCATTGGTTTTAGTGGTTTAACTTATATATTTTGCAGGAAGTAGAATACTTTAAGCAGTTAGTCACAGAAAGTTGTGTTAAGTTTTATCAAAGTCAGTGATTTTGGGTGTTTGCATGTTTTTTGAAATACCTTGGTCAAG